TCAGTGACTGGGGTAATTGGGATGGGTGTGTCGGAAACGGTAAGACTGGCACAGGATAGAGCAGGGATTAGGGCTGTTGTACATAGGGTCACTATGAATCGCAGGTGACTTGATGGCACATAACAACAACAACAATGCTAATAAGGAAACATGAAAGATTCTTGACCAGATTCCATCCCGGCTACATCACAGGTGGAGTTCTGAAGGGTTAGTCTGTAAGGAAGTGTGCTGTTAACCCAAAGGCAGCGTCTCTCTGGCTGTTCAAATTCACCAGCAGTTGTAGGAGAGGAAGAGGGACCGGACTGTCTCCTCCTGTGTCATTTACAGGCTCCTGCTGGCGGCTCAGCTATGTGTCAGTTCAGATGATGACGATGATTTTGAATGAGCTGACCTCACACTTTGCTGCTAAGTGCAACAGTTCTCCATGCTCCATTTTGATGAAACACTTTACAACCATTTAGAAGCTGACCCTGACATTTTGCACATGAAAATTCCACATGTAGCTCAAAAGAATTATAGTCGCCTGACTTTACAAATAAAAGTAAAGAGAGGTAAAAAACAGCTTGTCTGCACGGAAAATGGAAAAGTTGGCTTATATTTAAAGGCAGATTCCCTTTTATCTTAACAATTTCACTTGCTTACTATAAAATCACTAGGAAGGATTGTATTATCCTTCTTTCAAACCCAATTTTTCATCTAAAATTTCTCCTATGGCTTTAGGAAACCTCTTGTCCTTAACTAGTGGAAAGTGAAAAATTTCTGTTCTTCAATTTAGTTGTTTTTTTTTCAATTTGTTCTTTAAGTCTTACTGTTGACTCTTTCTCTGACTTTGTTATTTCTAAGGGATAGTATTCTAAACTGTCTTAGAATTTCATTTTAGACTCCATTTATCCTGGCCAGACAGGTTACTTTTTCAAGTCTTTCTTCAGTTTCTCAAAAGTTTACATCAGTTCTAGTTCTCCAAGTAATTTGTGGTTTTTTTTTAAGCCATTAGTCTATTCACTGAACATGTATTAAACTTTGGTTTTGAGACGGGCTCTGACCTCCGCCTTGTTGGTGGAGGTATTCGATCGGGAAGAGACCCCCAGCAGACCCTACAATGGGTGCTCCCAAAGCACCTGGGCCTTGAGGAGTAGAGTCCTGGAGAAGAGGTCACAGGGCGGGAACCGGCACTAGTTAACCTGTAAGTGCGATGAGGCGACTTCACGTGTGTCAGAGCAGAGCTGCTCTGCGGAGTTGTTATCCAGAGGCCGACTTTCAGAAGCAGATTGCCAAATCTCTCCTGCAAGGAGCCTCCAGGGAGATACCAATGCGGCCCAGCAGCTCGGCTCGACAGATCATGCACTGTGATGATGCAGGAGGTTACTGCTATAACAGAAGTCCACTCTGTAACGGCTGGTTCTTTATCTTCTTTCAACTTGAGCATTCACTGCATCTCTGGTAAGGGGTGCCACTGCCATCCTGAAGGCACATGGTTCGTATCCACCAGCTTCTCCAAGACAGAAAGATGGACAATCTCTGCTCGTGTATTTTTCTGCTCTGAACCATGTGACGGTCAACTATGAGCTGGTGCCACCTCGATGGTACATGACTACAACATTCAAAGCCTCAAACGAAAAACCCTCATTACTGTGAAGTTGGAACAGACTCACGGCTGATCCTTCCGTGGATTTTCAGAGGTTGTGGATCACATGGGAGGAGACTGTACACCTTTCTCCCATGAGACATAGCGTAGGGCAATGCTAACAAAATCTCAGAGGCAAATAGCAGGTAGGAAGCTGTATGACTGAGAAGTCAGCCATGAAGCTCCCTGGAGCTACAGGCTGGAGTTCGAGGCCTGTGAAGACGAGAGGTTTTGGGGAGTATCTGAGTTTAACTGAGAGTTCAGACAGCCTGTGCCTCAAGAGTAAGAACTACAACCAAGGAAATGAGAAGAGATCAGCTTAGCAAAAGCAAAGACGAAATATCAACAGGATGGGTAAAAGGGATCCACAGGAATGCTCTCTGTCTTCCTGCAACAGAAAACCGGTTTTCATGGGTAATAGCTACATTTAAATAAAATGATGATTATTATTTTTTTATTTTAGCAAAACAAGTGGGAGGTTTTTTTAAGGTAATGCAAAGGAGGCATGGCTGACAAGAGATAGAGCTGAGCCTGAGAAAGTGTTAAAGAGAAACGGAAAGAGGAAAAGGGGGGGAACACCTCTGGAAAGTAAAGGATGAACCCCAACCTTTTGGGAGGCAGCTTTAGGGAGGCTATTATGCATGTTAAAGGGGGGGGGGAAAGATGAAATGACCAAGTAGGGGGAAAAAAAGAGAAACAAAGGAAATAACAGACCATTAAAGAGTTCCATAAGAGACTCAGACTGCAGTTCCATTTAAAGATTTTCAGATCACTACAATTAATGACCAAAAAGGATATCTTTTAAAATCAAGCTAAATTTCATTTCAAAAATAGTTAAATGAACAGAAAGTATGGCTTGAGAGCCAGTATTTCCCATTTTTCTCTGCTTGTCTCCCTTTCAGTAACTCATCTTCCTCTTTCAGAAATGCTGCTTTAAATTGTAAAGTGCCTGTTGGGTTTGTTTGTTTGTTTGTTCTGTTTATATTCTTTTAATAAAATGGTTCTTTTATACTGGTTTACTTAAAGTTCGTATCCGTTGTTTTTCACACGGGATCTTTCCCTTTTCCTTTACCCACCACGCCCTCCAACCATCAAATTGTGTGACCCTCTAATTAAGTGTCCACCCTCCCCCAATGCCTGTAGTTAAAAAAAAAGCAACCTATTGAATGAAAAAAAAAAAAATAAGGATGGTGTCTTCCAGAAAAAGAGGTACATTTTTTAATAGAAAGAGGATAGGTACTAAAATCGGACACCGGTGTTTACCTCAGTCCCTGCCAGCACACTTGGGTGATCAGATTCCTATGCCTTGGTCACTCTGAGCCTGTTTTCTTTTCTATGGAAATAAATTGTCACAAAATACTTAGCACATAACAGTTATCAAATAAATACTAGTGTTCCATTGCATGTCATCACCAGTAGAAAGATTCATGAACACCAAGGTGGTAATCTAGGGATACGGTTTATATATTGATTGGCACTAGTATCTCCAGGGAGAGCTCTGGTGGCTTGGTGGTAAGAAGCTGTGCTGCAATCCCCAAGGCACTTGGTTCAAATCCACCAGTTGTTTCATGGGACAAAGATGGGCAATCTCCTCCCATGCAATTAACTGCCTCTGAAAACCTGCTAGAGGGTCAGATCCAACTCAATGGTACTTAACAACCACCTTCAATATCTCCAGCAAAGATAAATGAATATACAATCTGTGTTTTCTCTCTCTATTCCTAACAGATAGTTAACAGTTTTTGTTTACTTGGTTCCACAGTCAACACTCTTGGTAACAGCAGCCAGGAAATCAGGAGATGAATTGCATTGGGAAAGTCAGCTGTAAGGGACCTCTCAAGAGTACTGAAGAGTCATGATGTCAGGCTGGAGACTAAGGTGCGCCTGATCCAGGCTATAGTCTTTGCAATTACGTGCTATGCATCAGAGAGTTGGACAGTGAATAGGGATGATAGAAAGAGAATTGATGCCTTTGAGTTGTGATGCTGGAGAGAGTGTTGAATATACCATGGACTGCTAGGAGAACAAACAGGGTTGTCCTGGAGAGGGTGAAGCCAGAATGTTCCCTGGAGTCAAAGATTCTGAAGCTTCGTCTGACATACTTTGGGCATGTTGCAAGGAGGGGCTGGTCCTTGGAGAGGGACATCATGTTTGGGAGAGTGGAAGGACAGCGCAGGAGAGGAAGACCCTCAATGAGATGGATCGATTCTGTGAGTGGAGTGGTGGGAATGAGTGTGTTTGAGAAGGCGAGGTTGGCACAGGATAGAACAGCATTTAGGGCTCTTGTACATAGGGTCGCTAGGAGTCGCAAACGACTCGATGGCACATAACAACAACAACATTGCTAACAGGAAGGACTAACATAATGTCTATAGGATCGAATAGCTTCTTAAACTCCTGAGGTGGAAATGAAGGCTGCAAACGTCTAGGACAAACAGCAAAAATTATTTTAAGTCCAAGGGGCAGCGTGGGCTTGCCTCTCAACAATCATCGCTATTAAATCATTTGTCTCTCTGACACGTCTAAGGAAGTCACACTCATGACTTGCTAATCCCAGGATGTAGCACAGGACATATTTTGACAGGAGAACTGTTTATATAAACTGAAACACACGGCAAATTCATAATTTCATAAAATGTTCCTTATGCTTTCTGTGTGACAATTCTTGGCTGGCCTCCTTCGACGCATATTTAGCCATTTTAAGACATCTACAGAGTACAATCGACTGTTTTGGGTTCTGGTGGGGAAAAAAGAAATATTCTTAGACAAATCCAGGCTAGCTAGCAAGTGGAGTAAGACACAGTTACAAACACAGCAATCTCTGAATGATATACTCTACTCTAAAATATAAATGTTGTTGTTAATTGCCTTCGAGTTGAGCACAACTCATAGCGACCCTATGAACAAAAGGCCTGAAGCCCCTCTACAACTATTGACATTATTCACAGTTCATAGAGTGTCCGGAGGCATGTTGTTTAGGGAGAGGATGCCACTCCTGCTGCCAAATCTCTCTCTCTCTCTATCCATTCATCCTTTTATCTATCTATCATCTATCTAGCTATCTAGCTATCAATCTAAACATCTTGGAGCATCAATGTTTCTAGCTAAATGCTGCACATCACTAAAACATTACAGACATAAACAAAGAAGAAAAACAAAGATGGGTAAGAGAAGTCTTTCAAACAAATGATATTCCCCTAGAATGTTGATAGGGAAGGCCTACTTGCTTGGCTTTAGTTAACTATTTAGTTGCTCAGTCAGTGGTTAAGGAGCCACATTCACGTGCTTTTCAAAGAGAAGTGGGGGCAGCTGCCTTTCCTCACACCTGGTCTCCAGGGCCTGTGTGGTGGGGTCTCACAGGACGAGGGAGACTTACATCACTCTCATGGCCCTCCCGTAGGTTGTAGGTGAGGTCATGCTGAATGTCCTCCACAAACTTGTGGGCGTATTCTGGGTAAAGGTCCAGCACTTCGAAGAGCCCTTTGAGGATGATGCACTGCAGGTCACAGTAGGTCAACGCCTTCACATCTGCATTGGTTTTGATCACTTGGTCCTTAATTGATAGGTTGGCTCCAATTAAATCTCCTTTTCCTAGAAATAGGGGGTAAAAGAGAGGGGGAGAGACAGTGAGACGCTAAAGAAAAATACGTTGGCCGCCAAGATGTCATTCCCAAAGCACAAGCCATTGCGTCTGGCCACCCTACCTGCTACCCTCGACCCAGCCAAATAAGACCTATCTCCGGAAGCCCGGGAGGGTCAAAACAGCTGGCCATTCAATCCCGGCTTAACAGGAGTATCTACTTCAGCTCAACAACCCCAACCGCCAGCCAATCATTGAAGATCCTGCCTTGACTCATTGGACCTATGCAAGATCAGTGAATGTCTCTCCCAATTTCAGGCCCACTCCCAAGCTCTCCCTCACAGAAGCCGTGTCGGGCATTGGGGCCTTCGTCTTCTGGTATTATGTTTTCAAAACCGAGAGAGATAGGAAAAAACCCTTATCCAGGAAGGGAAATTGGAACGACCATTTAACATCTATTATTAACTTTGAGAGAGATGACTATGTATTATTGCTTAGATAAATCTTTTAGTAATCATTAAAAAAAGGAAAAATATGCTTAAGACTAGTAAATTTTGACTTATTCTCCTTTCAGTACAATCTCAGAGAAATGACCCAATGAACAGCAGAAAGAATCCACTCTGGGCCGTGCCAGCTTGACAATCTCTGTCAGGCTCCAACCAATCACCAGTCATGGGGTCAACCCATCTCAGGAAGGGCCTCCCTCTCTATTGCTGTCCCTTCGCCTTCCCAAGCACGATGTCTTTTCCCAAGGACAGGAGCCTCCCGATATTATGCCCAATTTCTATGAGGCCAAGTTTCACCATTGTAGCCTCTAACGGGCACCCCGTTTGCACCTCCTCCAAGACTAATTTGGGTTTGGGATTTTTTTGGCAGTCCGTGGTATAGTCAATACTCTTCATCAACATCACAATTTAAGGACATTGTGATTCATAACTTGGGTTTAGGAATCAGTTAGGTTCATTTTCCATAGACAGCATTTGAGGAACATTAACTAAGGTACTTATAAAGTGTTTATGCATCTACAAAAGGGTAGTAACCCTTAAACTTTTTAATTTCTCAAGAAGAATCAAAGGATGTGCCAGATATAACACGTGGCAGGGTTTTGTTTAAGTGGTTATGATGATTATGATATTAATAATATGTAGTATCAGCTGTGAAAACTAGGCCAGGAGCTGATTGTGGAACAGACCACCAACTACTCATATGCAAGTTCAAGTTGGAGCTGAGGAAAATTAAACCGAATCCACAGGAGCCAAAATATGACTTTAATTTCATACCACCTGAATTTCAGAATCATCTCAGGAACAGATTTGATGCCTTGAACACTAATGAGCGAAGACCAGATGAGTTGTGGGAGGATGTTAAATGTATCATCCAGGAAGAGTGCAGGCGGTCATTACAAAGACAGAAGAGGAAGAAAAGACCAAAATGGATGTCAGAAGAAACTCTGAAGATTGCACTGGAA